TTTTTTTTTTGTTTTTCTCCAGTACCGGGAACCGAACTCACAACCTTGCGCTTGCCAGGCAGGCGCTTTTGCCGCTGAGCTAAATCCCCAGCCCCCCAGTACTATTTTCTTTATGAGTACTATTTACATTTGAAATGGCAGGCGAATCTGGTAGTGTCGGCCAAAGCACAAGCAAAAGGCACTTTGATAAGCTGTTGCTGGAATTACAAATTAGTGCAAAGCTTTAGAAGGCAATGACCAAAACGAGAACTGGGACCGGAGTACTTCAGTGGCAGGAGCACCTTTCCAGCTCACAGGAGGCACTGCCCCTGCTTAAACATGTGCCACACCTGTATCCTCTGAAGGAGCAGCTGTGAGGCAGAGGAAGGTAGGTGGGCCACATGCAAACAGCCACTGCTGACGGGGCCTACTCGCTGCCGACTTTGGTATTGAAAGGGCCGAAGTAGGGGCCCTGGAAGCCACCTCGTAAGCTCCGGAGAGTGACTGTACCAAGACACCCCGTGCTAGGGCGCACAGCAGGGGCCACTGGACAGTGAAGGCACGGTGTGGGGAGATGCGCCTTTCCCGTGCTTGGGATGGAACCCAGGCCTCACACACATGGTACCAAGCAGGTGCTGCGCAAGTACTGGGCAGGAGCCGCGCCGCAGGCCTCCAACGCGTAGCTTCTCCAGCACGCCAGGACTGGAAGCTTTCAACACACTCTGGAGACTCACCGGGGAGCTTGATACACGCTCAGCACCGGGAGGACGGTGGTACTAGCATTGAGAGCCTGAGGTGATTCTAAGTTCAGCTGGTGTTATTTATCCCCAATTTGTTGGGGTTTTGTGTGTGTGTGTGTGTGTGTGTGTGTGTGTGTGTGATTTTTGTTTTTATCCCCAATTTGAACCAGGGAATAAACAGCAAACCCTTTTTTGTTTCTGAGACAGGGTGTGGCTATGTGGTTCAGGCTGGACTTCAACTCACTGTGCAGCCCAGGCTGTCCTCAAATTCAAGGCAGTCCTGCCTCAGCCTCCCAAGCGCTGAGATTATAGGCATGCATTCAGTTAGCAAACCATTTCTATATAGGGCCACATACCAGGCATTTTAGGCTCTGGAGATCCTTCACAGGGTTTGTCACTTACAGTGTTTTATAAATGTGAAAACCGCCTGTGTGGGGGTGCACATAGGAGGCTGAGGCAGGAGGTTCACAAGTTTGGACCCCCATTACTAAAGGAAAAAAAACAAAAAATAGCAAAACCCATTCTTAGCTGCTTGGTAATAAAATAGCTACGGGCTGCATTTGGCCAACAGGCTACCTAGCCAGCCCCCAATGTGGGCAGCTGGGATAAAGGGCCAAGATGCTGCCAAGGACAGCAAGCACACGGCACCGGAAACCTCTGCGGTGGCTCCTGGCTGACCCTGCCTCCCCACCTGGCGTCCAGTGGGCCTGAGGAAGATGGAGGAGGCGCGCTCAGGACGGGAAGACTCTCAAGAGACGCACGTTACAAACCAGCCGGTTTATTGTTTGGCAGTAACACAGAACTGTTCCCATGCAGACTGAAGTACCCACGTCAGCACGAATGACAGACGCATGTTCTTCCCAGTTACGCAGAAAACCAAATTTTGTCGCACTATTCTGTGTTGAGTCCAAGCAAAGGGAAGCTACGCTTCAGACTCCGCATCACCCACAAAAGCCTGAGGCACGCCCGCAGGACAGGGCCGGCCCACCCTCCAGAGCTGCCGACTGCCCCAGCCGGGCTCAGCAGCCGGCCCACCACCGCCTCCCGCGCCTGCTCGCCCAGGAGCTGGGCCTCTGCTCCCTGGCCCTGGGTTCTGCATGTGCAGCGCCGAGGACTCCACCAGGGCCTGGTGCACCGAGGCAAGCACTCTACACGGGGCCGCACCCCAATCCTGCTGGCGGGCCTGAGCTCCCCTGGTGAGGCCAGAGCCATCAGCTCCAGGCGGTGACCCTGGCAGGGGCGCTCCCAACCCCTTCCCACCTCAGCTGTCCGCACACAGGGCTCCCCTACAAGTTCACCCAGGAACCAGCTACTGAGAACTGAGGTTCTCTGGCCGTTCCTTTCCTCCCATGCCTTCTGATTAAGCAGCTCTCAACCACGAGGAACGGAACTAATTCTGGGTTTCCACCGTTATCAAGACAGAAACACCGAGTAAAAAGCTGCTCACACAAAGCTAGTTCTGTTTTGTTCTCAATGCTGTAAAAAAGGGAAGATGCAGTCTTCAGCTTAGTACACGACTGTAAGGGCCAAGCTGTCAACAAATGCCTTTTTTTTTTTTTTTTTTTTGGTTTTTGGTATTTTTTTTCCTGTACCAGGAATCGAACTCATGACTTTGCGCTTGCCAGGCAGGCACTGTGCCGCTGAGCTAAATCCCCAGCCCCCAACAAATGCCTTTGAACAGTAGAAAAAGATTGCTTTTAAATTAAAACCAAGTGTATTGCAAACATACATGACAAAATTACAGAAAACATGACTGACCCATCCCATTCACACCACAGAGTTGTTTCTCTAACCAAACTGAATTTTATCTGAAAAAAGTTGGGTTACCTCCACGCTGGCTGACCCTTCTGCCCCAGACCACGGGTGAGAATGAGACAGCGCATGCTCGACTCGCAGACTCGTGAGCGGCTTCTAACTGGCCCCGCCAGGCTCTAGGGGCACAGGCAGAAAAGCTCTAATTATGAACAGTCGTTCATTTGATTCTTTACTGTGTCTTGAGCAATAGCTATGATTTTATCTGTGGGAACCCACTTTTGAAAATCACAACACAAATCAATGAGAATCATTTAATATAAAATATACAAACTCTGCAGCATGAGGACTTCCACAGAACAAGGGAACAACTAAAATGTATTTTCTTTAAAAACAACGTTCCTCTTACCTTGTCCCTGATATTCAACACTCAAAAAAACAAAACAGCCAAACCTGTACAAAACCTAGGACACAGAAAAGGATCGAGGACATCACGCTGCACAGGCTCAGGACCTACTCTAAACCTCTGTCCTCAAGAGCCCGCCAGAGCAGAGGGACCCGGGCCAGCTCAGGCGAGAGGCCGCCCCCACATCCCTGCTCCAAGGGCTCCAGTCACTCGCTGTCAAACTTGATGGAGTTGACCTGGACGGAGATGGAGCCCCCTCGGTAGCTGCCTCGCTTCTTCTTGGTCTTCTCGTGCCGGAAGGACTTGCCTTTGGTGAACTTCAGGACCTGGTTGGCCCGCTCCCCCCAGTCTCCAGCTGCACCTTTCTAGCAAGCAGAGCAAGAGGCCGTTAACGCTCGCAAGGACAAGGCCAGACCGTCACCCTGTCTTCCCACTCCCTGCTGCCGGCTGGTGGACCTTGGGCTTCTGACCAACCTCAACAAGGAGCAGCGCTCTTCTACACCTCCCCCGAAGAGCAGCAGGAAAGGCATCTCCCTCACCTTGGCATCAAAGGAGTTGTCTGCCACCCGGGAATCCACCTCAACGTCCTCCTCCCTGACCCTCCGAAACGGGGAAGATGCTCTTTTTTCTCCCTGGAGAGGAATGAAGCGGGGAACTGAGGATGCGGTGGTCCCCACGGACATCACGCTGTGCCGCGCCAGGGCAGGCTGAGCTGTGAAGCGGACCTGGGTTTTTCCCTCCCTGCTTTCAAGGTCTGGCTCCTGAGAAGAAACCAAGACAACTCACTTTCTTTCTTTTCGGAAACGTGTTGGGGGTCTGGAGCTTAACCTTCTTGGCCTGAGGCGTCTCCGCCTCTCTGACTGCCTCCTTCTGCTTCTGCTTCTGCTTCTTCCCTGAACCTGCGGAACAAAAAGCTGCGCTCAGGAGCCAGGTTCCCGGAGGGCTGGCAGCGGGAAGCTGGACGGCGGGCCTCCTCCCACTGCCCACGCGGACCTGGGGGCACAGCCCAGATCCTCCAGACAGACCTGGCTTAGCGGTGACCACTGCCGCCTTCTTCCTCCGCCCCTCCTCCTCCTCCTCAGTGTCCTCGCCGGCCTTCCCATTCTGAGCAGTTGCGGCCGAGGTGCCATTGGTCTTCGGCGTGCGGGGCCGAGGAGCGGCCCCACCCTTGGGTTTCTCCTCCTCCTCTTCCTCCTCCTCCTCCTCCTCCTCACTAGAATCCTCAGAGGAAGAACTGCTGCTACTCTCGGCCCTGGCTTTCTTGGCAGAGGCTGCCTTTGATGGGGCTACCCCTCCTGCCGCCTTCTGGGGCTTCTTGTTGACCAGGGATTTGGACGTCTTCTCTTCCTCCTCCTCCTCACTGCTGGAGCTGTCGGAGTCGGAGCTGCTGCCCCCTCCAGCCTGAGCAGCCTGTCTGGCAGGCAGCGACGGTGCTGCTTTGGCAGTCACCTTCACCTTAGGGGCGGCCGCGGTCTTCTCTGGCTTCTCCTCCTCACTGGAACTGCTCTCCTCCTCGCTGGAGCTGCTGTCAGCCTTTCTGGTCAGAGACTTCTGGCTGCTGCCCGCAAGCTGCTTGGGAGTGGCAGCTGCTGGCTTAGCCGCAGGTGGCTTAGGAGTGGCAGCCGACTTACTTAAGGAATTCTTGGAGCTACTGGCTGGCTTAGAAGGAGCTTCATCCTCAGAGCTGTCAGAGTCTAGACAAAAGGGACAGAATAAGCAGCTCCCCAAACCAGACTTCAGAGGAGCCCTCTAGCAGCAGCCCGGGGGGAGCGCCACACTAACCAGCGGCCTCTGTGGCCTCACCTGAGCTGTCTGAGGAGCTCTCTTCTGCCTTCTTTGCTGGAGCTGGTTTAGCGGCTGCCCTGGAGGTGACTGCCTTGGCTAGGGGTTTCTTCTCTTCCTCAGAACTTGAATCTGGGGAGGGCCTGTGGCATTACGCTAGGTCCAGAGGCCCAACCCAAGCAGGAGGGGAACAAAAGATGGCGAAGACACCCCACACCTTAGCACAGCCCCCGCGCAGCCAAGCGCTGCACAGGCACAGAGGCGTCTCCAGCCCTCACCCCTGCACACCCGCCCACACCGCTGCTGGGCAAAGCGGCGCTCGCTTACCAGACTCGTCACTGCTGTCCTCACTGCTTGCCTCTGGACGCTGCTTCTCCACAGCCTTCTCAGGGGGCGCTCCCAGAGGCTTCTTTGGTGGGGGAGCAGAGGGCGGGGGCACGGAACTGTAGGGACCTGTTTAAAAGGGGCGGCCAAGTGGCTTACAGGATGTTCTCAGTGCTAGGAATGCGGCTGACTCACCGCACTTGCCTAGGAGCCTGGGCTCAACCCCCAGCACAGCAAATAATAAACACACTCAGACTCTTCGATAGTGCCTTTCTAAGAGATGGCGCTTAATTCTCTTTTCCTCAAACGTAGGCGAGAATCAGTGACTCACTTCTAACAAACGGAACCTGGCAGAAGGAACGGTGTGTCACTTCTCCACCTAAGCTACACAACGCACCCGGCTGCCCCCTGCTTTCCTGGGAGCAGACAGCTGACCCAGCGTGAGCACTCAGCAGCCCCCTGGAAGGCTGTGTCCTGACTGCCCCTGGCCATGGTCAGCCGCACTGCCCGACTTCTCGTGTTCAACTACCTGCTTTTTTCTTCACGGGCTTTTTCTGCTCCTCCTCCTCCTCTTCACTGGAGGAGTCTTCACTACTGGAACTCTTCTGGGTTGCTACGATGGGTGCTTTCACAGGGGTCTTGGTCACAGTTTGCTTTTTAGATGCAGTCTGCATCAGAGAAAAAATCGATTATCAGAGAACAACCAATGCGAACAATCCTGCCTGGGAACAGAGACGCCCACCCCCACCGGTCTTCCCTGACAAACCTTCTTGGGGATGGCTGCTGCTGTCTCCTCTGAATCGTCACTGCTGCTGCTGCTGCTGCTGCTGCTGCTGCTGCTGCTGGCAGCAGCTCTGCCATTGGTCACCTTAGGCGCTGTTTGAGCTGGTGCACCTAAGGAGAGGAAATGAACAAAGCAAGGAGTATTAGGGCAAGCAGCGGACCACAACAGGGCTGCTTCCCATTTGAACACAAAGGAGGAGTCTCCTAGGTTTTTTTTTTTTCTTGGTCTTTTTGAGGCAGGATCTCACTATGCAGTTCAGGCTGGTCTTGAACTCACTTTGTAGCCTGGAACTCACAGCGATCCTCCTGCCTCAGCTGAGCACTAGGATTACAGGCGTGTGCTACCACGCCCAGCAATTCTAGGTATTTTTAACTGAAGAGCAGCCATGAAGGAGAGGGCTGTGGTGTGTTAGGATTAAAGCACGACCTTCCTGCCTAACGCCAGGGGTAAGACTTTTTAAAAAGATGATGCGATAAAACCCATCTAGACACCTCCCCTGAAGCCTTCACCCCCACCTCTATTCAGAAAAGCTCACAAAAGTCACAACCTAACCCATAAAAGGGAAATCACTCCAACTTTCTGTAAAAATTGACACTGGTCATCCATACCTCTAGTTCAGCAGCCATACGATCTCAACTCAGTGCCCAATGAGCAATTTTTTTTTTTTTTCTGGCACCGGGAATCAAACTCACGACCTTGTGCTTGCCAGGCAGGCACTGTGCCACTGAGCTAAATCCCCAGGCCCAATATATCTTTTTTTCTTTTTCCTGGTACCGGGAATCGAACTCATGACCTCATGCTGGCCAGGCAGGCGCTGTGCCACTGAGCTAAATCCCCAGCCCCAATATATCTTTTTTTTTTTTTTTTGTACAAGGAATCGAACTCAGGACCTTGCACTTGCCAGGCAGGGGCTTATGCCACTGAGCTATATCCCCGGCCCCTAACGAGCAATTTTAACACCTACACCCAGAGCACTCTGGTCCCAGCCCACCCTCCTGGGAATAGAAACAGTACCTGGTCTGGCTGGGGCTTTCGCTGCCACAGGTGCTGTCTTTGGCTTCTGGCTCTTTGGTGCCTCACTCTCTGAACTTGAGTCAGAATCAGACTCAGACTTCTTAGCCTTCTTAGGAGGAGCTTTGGCTGCCTTGGCTTGGGGTTTTTGGGGTTTAACTCCCTTCTGCTAGAAAATACACATTGTGCAATCAGCAAGAGCTTTCTGACCCAAAGGGCATCTGAAGCTTTTCTTTTTTAGGGGTAAATAGAACACAATGGGTGAGGAAACCCAAGCAGAAGAGTATATGGTAAGAGCAAAATAAAAGACGGGCATGGTGGGGCCAGGGATGTAGCTCAGTGGCGTAGTGCCTGAGTTCATCACCAGTTCAAAAACAATGGGCATGGGAGCACTTTTGTAATCCTAACACGGGGGAGTTGTTCGAGGCCAGCTTGGGCCATAAAGCAAGACCCTGTCTCAGTAAGTCATCTACTTGAAATACTGTCCTTATCCCTGTCACATCCTACCAACTATCCCAACAAAACACTCTTTCTCCTTAAGATCCTCCTAGCCGGGCATGGTGGTGCACCCCTGTAATCCCAGCACTCAGGAGGCTAAGGCAGGAGGACTGTTGCAAGTTCGAGACCAGCCTGGGATACAAAGTGAGCTCAAGGCCAGCCTGAACTACATAGTGAGACCCTGTCTCAAAAAGACCAAAAAAAAGATCCTCTTGCCTCAGTCTCCAGAGTATCTGAGATGACAGGTGGGCAGCACCATGCTGCTATACACTCACCCTTGCCATCAGCAAAGGGGCAAATTTAGGGTTTTCCTTTCCAAATCCTAACCAATTGTCCTTCCTCCAAAAGCGGCAGACCTGGACAGCGGTTTTCCTTTTGTCCTCCTTCTCTTCCTCCTCCTCCTCATCCTCATCACTGGATTCTTCACTGCTGCTGCTCTCTGAAGCTTTGGCCACAGCCTTTCCAGGACGCTGAGGCGGACTGACCCGCTTGGCAGGCACAGACACAGCTGAATAAGAGCACAGGCCCAGAAGTATCAGCCTGTGGTCTAGGCAGCGGGCAGATTTTCCTCCTGGAGCCACTGAGCCGAACCCACTTGCCCTGCCTTACCAGACTTCTTAGCTGGCGCTCCTTGAACTTGTTCCTCCTCCTCGCTGCTGTCCTCACTGCTGTCACTGGATGAGCTGCTCTTCTTAGCCTTCTTGGTCACTGGTCCATTTGCCTGTAACTTCCGCTTTGGGGCTTTGGTGGACCTGTTGGGTAGAATGGGCAAGCTTCTGGGGGTTCGGGACCTTCTCAAGCCAAGGGACACAGCCCAGCCCACCTGGGAGAGAAAACAGCAAGGGGAGCACGCAAGGCTTACTTGAGCCAGAAGCTATAGATGTCCAGGAGGGAGGAGGCGTTGGCATCCTGCTGCGTCTATAGGAGAGACAACGGGGTAAGGAACTGTTACCGATTCCTCTAGGAGAGGCCAGGTTTCGTTATTCTTTTATTACCTGTGACCTGTTGTACACCTACTACAGTTGGAACAAATGTTTCACCTTCCTAAGACTTTTCCTACTTGAATAAACTAGGAAAAAATATTTTACCTATGGATCTCCCAAATTTTGGTACCAAAACCAGACTATCCTGTAGTTTATAGTACCATCTATCCCCCTGCCTGTTAATCTATAGTTATCAAGGATTTCATAAAAGTTCACTACTTTTACTCTAACAATGTATTACCCAAGAATTTGATCCTAAACACAAACACTAATACAAGGTACTGTTTGTAATAGGGATTATCATACCAAATTAACGAAAGCACCACCCTGTAATCCCAACATTTGGGAAGCTGAGGCAGGAGGATCGCTGAGTTCGAGGTCAGCCTGGGCTACAAAGTAAGTGTAACGCCAGTCTGAACTGCAAAGTGAAACCCAGTCTCTCTCTTTTTTTGGTACGGGGAACTGAGCTCAGGACCTTGCACTTGACAGGCAGGCACTGTACTGCTCAGCTATAACCCAGCCAGAAACCTTGTCTCAAAAAGACAAAAAACAAAAAAAAAACAAGGGCTGGGGATTTAGCTCAGCAGCACAGGGCACAGTGCCTGCTTGGAAAATGTGAGGTCAGGAGTTCAATTCCCAGTACTTGGGGGCTGGGGATTTAGCTCAGCAGCACAGCACCTGCCTGGCAAGCGAGACATTGTGAGTTCGATTCCCCGTACCAAAAAAAAAAAAAAAAACAAAAAAAAACACAAACAATTCCCAGTACTAAAAAAAAACAAACAAAAACCAACCAAACACACAAGCACACACAAAAGGAAGCAAGTTTTCAAGTGATAATTGGTAAATAGTCTGCAACAAATTTGGAAAACCCCTGTGGGGGAGGGGTAAATATAAAATCTATCTGCTCCCTTTGCCCTTCAAACTGCAGATACGTATTTTTTTTAACGTGGAGATTTGTTCCTACGTGATTAAAGATTTAGTGGAATTCTTTTTTTTTTTGGTACCGGATAGAAATTGAACTCGGGACTTTGCGCTTGCCAGGCAGGAGCTTGTGCCACTGAGCTATATCCCCAGCCCTGAGTGGAATTCTTAAAGAAAAGGATTATTTAAAAAAAAAAGAGGGCCTGGGGATTTAGCTCAGCGGCACAGCACATGTCTGGCAAGCACAAGGTCGTCAGTTTGATTCTCGGTACCAGAAAAAAACAAAAATAAAAAGAGAGAGAGATTATATACACAGTAAGGAATTTCATTCAGCCAGGCGTGGTGGCATACACCTGTAAACCCAGCATTCAGGAGGCTGAAGTAGGAGGATAGCCACAAGTTCAAGACCAACCTGGACTATATAGCAACACCCTGTCTTAAAAAACCCAAAAACAGAACAGATAAAATCACATCCAGCTATTAATTATACTCAGTATTAGCTGATGTAAAAATAGTAAAGCATCAAGGTGCAGGGGTGCAGGCCAGTGGTACAGTGTGCTCGGCATGCATAGCACACGTGAGCTCATCTCTGTCAGGCATTACCATCTGACCTGGGAAAATTACTAAATCTCTCAGACTGGGCATTTGTTTTGTTTTGTTTTTGAGGGGGGGACTGTTGTATTCTTTCAGACAGGGTCTCACTTTGTATCTCAGGCTGGCCTCAAACTGCTGATCTTCCTGCCTCAGTCTCCTGAGTGCTGGGATTGCAGGTATGCACCACCATGCCCACCATCAGAATGCTTTCTTCTTTATAAAATGATGACAACACTATCCATCTCATTACATTGTTGAGAAAATAAGAGATGATAAATGTAAACCAGGCATGGTGCCACATGCCTGTAATCCCAGCCTTCTGGAGGGTGAGGCAGGACCACTACAAATTCAAAGCCACCCAGGACTACACACCATATACTACCTAAAAAAAATAAAAATAAATAAAAAATAAAGGGGCATGAGAGAATGTATGTAAAAGGTGGAGCATAAGAAAACAGCATCCAGGGCTGGGGATTTAGCTCAGCGGCAAAGCGCCTGCCTGGCAAGTGCAAGGTCTTGAGTTCGATTCCTGGTACCAGGAGAAAAACGAAAAACAAAACAAAACAAAACAAAAAAACAGCTTTAGGAGATAGGTTCCATTACAGCCAGGAGTTGTGCAGCACACCTGTAATCCCAGCACTCGGGAGGCTGAGGCAGGAGAATCATTTAGAGTTCAAGACCAGCCTGGGCTACAAAGTGAGCTCAAGGCCAGTCTGAACTGCATAATGAGACCCTGTCTCAAAAAGACAACAAAACATAACAAAACAAAACAAAACAAAACAAAACCAGCCTTAGAAAACAGCATCCAGACCTAGCAACTGTTTTACAAGGGTTAGCTTTCAGCACATAAAGCCAATAACTCCAAAATGCCTAGTTCTGCAGGGCGTGGTGGCACACGCCTGTAAGCCCTGCACTTGGGATGCTGAGGCAGGAGGATCATTGAGAGCTCGAGGTCAGCCTGGCCTACAAAGTGAGCTCAAGGACAGCCTGAACCGCATAGCGAGACCCTGTCTCAAAAAAGAAAACAAAACAAAACAAACAAACAAAAAACCCAAAATGCTTAGTTCCTTGCAGTTGCTCTAACATAAACTTAAGACAGTCCAATAAGTAAGCAGTTGTATCAGATCACATGGCAGACGGCCCTAACCCAAGGACATTCTTTAGGAGACTGATTTGCTCTCCTTTTGCAACCCAATTCTGCTACAAAGAACAAATCTACTTTTTTTAGCCATGCTATGATCTCTGACAAAGACTACTACTCTATCTTCTCTTGAGATGAGTTCCAGGATGGGAGTTCTTGAAATCTAGATTCCCACTGGACAGTGGCACACGCCTGTGATCTCAGGGCTTGGGAGGCAGGAGGATCCAGTCGAGCTCGAGGCTACCTGGACTAAAGAGTGATTTCAATGCCAGCCTGAATTACAGAGTGAGACCATGTCTCAAAGAAAAAAACATCTGGAGGCTGAGGCAGGAGGATCCTTGAGAATGAGAGACCAGCCTCGGCTACAAAGTGAGCTTAAGGCCAGCCTCAACTGCATAGTGAGACTCTGTCTCAAAAAGCAAACAACAACAAAAAGGGAAATCTAGATTCCCTACCCTTCACATTCCTGATCATCTTGCCCTCACAGGTGTTTGGAGGACCCTAAATTGCCCTAACTATGATAAAAGCTACGACTCATCTCACCCTTCCTGTGTGCCAGCACTGGGATTGCTACATTTACACTTTACCTTACAGAAACTCACAAAAATCCTATAAAGTGGCTAACTACATAACTGTAATAAAGAAAGAGACTCAGAGAAAGCAATCTGCCAGGATCACCCATCTAAAGTGTGGCAGAGCAGGGTCCCAAACCTAGGTTGTTTTGATTCCATTAGCCAAAGGCCCAAGCTCACTGTCACGCCGGCTTGAAGACTTTGCTGCTCAATCCTACTTCAGTCTACCTGCGCGCGGAACCCTGCCCTCTCGGATTCATTTTCTTCTGTAGTAAAGAAAATGCTAGCCTAGTGAAGTTACGTTACTCACTTTCCAGTCCCGGGTAAATGCGTCCCACCGCAAAGTCAAAGGACGCCTCGCCTGGGCCAACAGGATCCCCAAAGGCGGCCTGGCGAGGCAAAAGCCCTCGGTGGGACCCGCACGCCCTGCCACGTGACCCCGGCCACGCGGATCCCACGCCACCGCCGCTGCACAGCTCCCCAGGAAAAGGAGTTGGGGCTACTCAGACCTCGTGGGAGACGAGGTCCCGAGGTCCCGAGGCCCCAGGCTTCCTCCAGTCACCTCGACAGGCAGCACAAAGGCCTCGCCAACTGCGGGCTAGTGGAACCCACAGATCTCCCCGCCGGCATGTCGGTGCCTGGTGCCTGGAGGTCACCCACCCCGGCCGCGCGCCAAACCCAGACTCACAGCGCCGGTCGCCTTGACGAACTTATTGGCCACCTCCGAGAGTTGGTTATCGCGCAGAAAGCCGAGCACGAGGGGATACAGGTCGCTAGGAACCACGCGGCGCAACCCGGCGTCCGCCATCCTCTGGCAATACGCGTCACTGCCGTCGCAGCGGAAGGGCGACGCTAAACTCAGGCTCTCTACCGAGGCCTAACGTCACTGCGCCGCGACGGCCGGCAGCGGAAGGGGCGGGACTCCGCGGTAAACCCGCCCCTACGCGGAGGTGGACCCCCCCCCAGTGGAAACCCGGAAACTCTTCCTGGTCCCAGGCACGTCGCCATCTTACAAGGGCGGAGCCCACCGGTCTCCTTTGTGGAGGCGGAGCTCTGACGTCAGCGGTCACGCTCCGGGCCGTGGCGGGAAAACTCGGGATTTCCCGCGCGCTGCTCGGCTGGACGCTTTTCTCAAGAGCTGGTGCCGGCACCCCAGCTGCGTCTCGGATTTGACAGTAATGAATGAGTGGACCAGCAGGCCATAGTCGTCCTTCTCTCCCGATGTGGTCCCGAGGTCCCCCCCTCACTGCTCGCGGTGCGGGTAGGTTCCCGTTCCGCCTCCACCGTCCCTCCAGCACCCGGGGAGGTTGTCCCGGAGACCGAGCTTTCCGGCCTCTGCGGTAGGGGATCCTTCCCGTAATTCCCGAAGCCGCCCGCTCCGGGCAGCCCTTGCCCCTCCTCGCTTACGCAGCCGCGGTTCAGCTCCATGAAGGAAGTGTGAGCAACCGAACCTGAATCACACAGCAGAGAGTTCTTCAGTCCGCAGTCTTCAGAGTAATTCTTTTTCCTCCCTGGTCATAACCCGACAGGTTCCAGGAGCAAAAGCTCGACTGCTTCTCGTTAATGTGCCTCAGGAAGGGCAAGGATCCACTTCTAGACATCATCGTCCTTTGCCTTTATCAAAATAGGCCCTCCCGGTACTAGAGGAAACTTGCAGCATCTGCCTCTGCCCCAGAGCTCTATCTCAGGCGTGTATTCTAACGCGCAAGCTCCGCTGTGCGGCCAGCACTGTGCTCAAGCTAAAATGGTGATCTCAGCTGAGACGTGAATGTGCACACAAGCCCACCTAGAAAACCTTATTTACAAGTGTGAGTTTCCTCTAGCCCTTGCTATCAAAATCCCTTCCGGGAATAGTAACGCTGCCCTGAATTTGAAATGCAGAATCTCAGGCTCCCCGCCCCGCAGAATTCACAGTCTGCCTTCTAAAAAGATTTCCAAATGATTCAGATCCCCTTTCAAGTGGGAGAAGCAAGCCCTGACTTACTCCACAGATAACATGCCTGAGAAGCCCTTTCAAATCTGGTGGTTTCACATCCAGGACAAGCACCACTGGGATGAGCACCTAACAAGGCTTGTAAACTCAGCACCAGTAATGAATTAAGGGGACACAGTTTAAGAAAGACGCTTTATTTATAAGGAAGAAAAAAACAGAAGACAGCTTCCCCTGAGAAGAGTAAGGGGCTCCAGAAAGATGAAAAACCCATGAGCCTGTGTCCCCATCTTCTTTTCTGGTGTTTTGAGGGTCCCTCCTTCCCTGGAACTTGTCACAATTTGATTGGCTCCCTGGGGTGTCCTGCGGTTAAACCGGGCACCATGAGTACCCGTGTCTACACGCACATTTCTTTTGGTGAGCTTTGACTTTCTGCTGCCCGTTTGTCCTTGTCAGGGCCTTATTTCCAGGATGAGCTGATGGATGGTTAGCAGGAACCTTATAGGTCAGCTTAAGAGTTAGTAAGGGGATATGTCTGTATTTGTAATAACAGAGTGACCCTGGAGCGAAAATATAGATACGGATAAATATGTAAGGGCGTGGGTGTCAGCATATATTTTTAAATAGTGAACAATAACTTTTTTAAGAAGTAGGGTAGCCCCTCCCTTTCATGTCTCTTTTACTTTTAAGGTAGGTGAGGAGGGATGGCTATCTTGGCTCTGTGCACCTGGCTTGTCTGTGCTCTCTCCTGTCAGCTTTTCCTCTGGTCCTTTGGTGCAACTCCCAATGCCACTGTGCTATGTGGTGTCCTTTATAATGGCTTTCTTTCTCCTTGTCCTTATACAGTGGATTTTGTACTTGACCAGAGAGGTCCTAGGATGTAACTAGAGGTCCTAGTTGTCATTGGTGGGGAAGGCGAGCCACTTAGGTACATGCCACGAACACACAGGACCCCAGGGCACAGCGGTGGCTCTTCTCATTCCCCACACCGCCCAGCGCACCACAGCAAAGAGCCAAGTAAAGAAAAGGAGCCCAGATGAATGGGACTGAAAGGACTTCGTGACTTGGGACCCGCGCTTACCCCTGGACACGGAAGTGGATGGCGCACTCCTCAATCTCTCCAAAAACAGAGAACTTGTTTCAGCTCTGACCGAGTCATTCGGCCAAGGAGGTTAAGCACATCCCTGACTGTATTCACAGAGGAGAAGTGATTACATTTGGCAGTAGCACAACAGAGAGAAGCACAACTGCTGTCCCGGCTTGGTGGCCCCATGCCTGAAATCCCACTCTAAGAGGCTGAGCCAGAAAGATCCTAAGTTCAAGCCTAAGCCTGGTCAGTTTCGATCTACTCATGCAAAAGCCCTGGGTTCAATACAATCCCAAATACGGAGACACACATTCCCACAATGACACTGGGAATTTTTAGTTTATCACTCTACATAGTGACTGGTGTTCCAAAACACTGGGAAATCCCTCAATTCCAACTTTTTTTTTTGTCTTTTTGAGACAGGGTCTCACTGTGCAGTTCAGGTTGGCCTAGAGCTCACTTTGTAGCCCAGACTGGTCTCAAACTTGCAACAATCCTCCTCCCAAGTGCTGGGATTACAGGTGTGCACCACCATGCCTGGCTTTCCAACCATTCATTCACTCATTCATTTCATTCATTCATCCATTCATTTATTTATGGGAGGGTGGGGACCAGGAATCAAACTCAGGACCTTGTGCTTGCCAGGCAGGTGCTGTGCCTCTGAGCTATATCCCCGGCCCTGCAACCATTTTATATAGGAATGTAAGTTAACTTGTTTCAACCTGTTATAAAAAACAAATACCACTTTTAAAAGTCTGATTTAACATTTTTATTTCACTTTTTTCCATTTCTTTATAAAACAGTCATCTCACTAGCAGCTCTCTCCCCAGAGTGGGGGAGGGGGACACAGGAGGCTGGACACCTCCAAAGAAAAAGGGAGGGGGGAAGAGCCCAGGGTTACCTCCTGAGGTTCTTCTGGGCCTGTTTCAACAATGTGTCAAAGTCAAGAGAGTCAAATTTGCTCTTTACAGGAGCAGGGTCAAAGTCTTCCCGGTTGGAGTCTACAAAGGTAGAGAGAGACAAACGTCACGACCTCTGACCACACATCCCACTGGGTTCTCAAATGGCCAGCCATCTCCTCTCCCAACGATGGCTGCAGCTAAAATTGCCCTGGATTAAGTGAAAGGTACGTGTGAGTGCCTCATCCTCTCCTCATCCCACCCTTAGATTCTTCTTGTATGTCAGGTAAGTCTACCTTGCCCCACTCTTAAAGAACTAGGCACCTTTCCCTTCTTTTACACCCCCCCCACACTTCAGTTTTCTGAGACAGCGTCTCAATGTGTAGTCCAGGCTGGCCTCAAACTACGTAGACCAGGCTGGCCTTGAACTCATGGCAATCCGCCACCTCGGCCTCCCAGGTGCTGAACTTCAGGTGTGTGCCACCCCACCTGACCTAGAATCCCTTCTTGAAGGGAATGAGGGATGGCAAAGCCTCAGGCCTGCCCTCTACGCACCGAGATCAGAATAGCTCCTCTTGCAGAACTGCCTGCGGCCCCCAAAGCAGAGATCAAACGGCTGCTCGTCTGCCTGCCGCAGCTTGTGGCCACTCTCGATGGCTGCAAATGCCTCCTCAGCATAGCGGTAAGTGACGAAACCATAGTTGTCACTGGTGAGAAGGCGAGCCACTTAGGTACATGCCACGAACACACAGGACCCCAGGGCACAGCGGTGGCTCTTCTCATTCCCCACACCGCCCAGCGCACCGCAGCAAAGAGCCAAGTAAAGAAAAGGAGCCCAGATGAATGGGACTGAAAGGACTTCGGACTTGGGACCCGCGCTTACCCTTGGACACGGAAGTGGATGGTGCATTCCTCAATCTCTCCAAAAACAGAGAACCTCTGTTTCAACTCTGACCGAGTCATTCGGCCAGGTATCTTCCCAATAAAGACCACCCTTCTCTCTTCCTGTGTTGGGCAGAAGGAAAAGTAAGCCTGTGAGCTGGAGCTGGAGCTGCAGCCAACCCTCCGAGCTCATGGCTCAGGGCAGGGCCCCCCAGCCGCGCTACACTCACTATTGCACGCTCCTTCTGCAGCACTCTCTGCCTTTGGTAATGGTCGTGTGCACGATATGAGCTGTACCTGGCAAGAGAAAAGGCCATCAGCCTCCAGACACAACAATTCGAGACTCAGAACTCTCGGGCCCCTCCATCCCAGCAGCCCTGCTTCCCGGTAACATGCTCACCGCCGCCTCCTGTCACTTCTCCGGCGGGGGGATGGGGAGCGAGAACGGCTTCGGGAACTGGATGAGGAGGACGAGGAAGACGAGGATGATGATGAAGAGGAAGAGCATCTTCGGGAACGTCCAGAGGAACTGCAGCTGGACCTACAGAATTAAAGGATGTGCAGTTCAGAGTAGGCGTGATGCAGATATACTCCACTTACCTCACCCAGGCCCCAGCCCTGCCTGTCAGGAAGCTCAGAACCAAAGAAAGCAGAGCAGAAGAGGTCTAGAACAATTTTTCCTCACAAATGAACAAACTGAAGCCCTTCATGGAACTCTAGGTAGATCTGTAACATTCTAGTGTCTGGCCAGACCTCTATTTATTTTCAATTGTGCAATTGAAAACTGAAAAACAAATCAGTAAGGGGAAGGAAAATAAAAAAAGGGCTGGACCCTAGCTGTGTCTGTACCTTTGGTGTAGGGGCCAGGCCTGGCTGGCTGCTTTACAAGTGCTTCCCGACCATGTCACCTAGGACTCTGCAGCCACAGTGTGAAGGGAGGTGACATGCTAGACCTACAGGAGCGGGTGTTTCTAGAGGTGCAGCACTGCTGAGACTCAGAAGCTCCCTACTGAGTAAGTGGGAAAACTTGGGACTGTTACTGAGAAAAAGTAAAATGCGGGCCAGGGATGTAGCTCAGCAGCTCCAATGCCTGCCTGGCAAGTGCAAGGTCCTGAGTTTGATTCCCAGTACCAAAAAACAAACAAACAAAAAAAAAAGATTTGATGTATGAATTACTAAGTTTGGGCTGGGGAGACAGCTCAGTGGCACAAGTGCCTGCCTGGCAAGCACAAGGTCCTGAGTTTGATTCCCAGTACCAAAAAAAAGGGGAAAAGTAAAATGTTGCCAGGAAATAGATGAGGCCATCCCAAGAAACTGCCTCGTATGCTTTACTCAACAGATGATTAAGCACAGTTCCCCTTAGCAGTTAACCCACTATCCCACAGTGCCATGAAAATACCATGAGGTACTGTCGTACGTAAAGAAGCGGACACAGTCAAGATCAAACCCTCACAGTTGCAAGGCATGGCTCAAGGTAGCAGAGACCTCAGGAATACCCCATACTCCAACCAAGAATAGAAGCTATATTCTCACAGCTTGCCTCCTTCCACAGTCCACAAAAGGAGAAAAGACGAAAGCCAAAGACGGAAACAAAAGCCTTAGTGCCTGAACGTACGCAAGTCAGTGTGTGAAAGCTTTCAAAGTAAACCACAGGAGAGAGCACAAACTTCCTAACTGCAGGACCTAACGGGCCATCAAGAGCTCACCTTCGCCACCTCTTGTGTGGGGGGGAGAGGGACCGGGACCTGGACCGGGATGAGGAAGACGACGATGAGGATGAGGAAGATGCTTCACTGGTCTGGTTGGACCCAGAGCTGACAGACCGGCTGCTGTGGCCACGACGGCCCTGCCAGCCCCTACTTGGGGGGCTGGCTGACCTGCAGGCTTTTCGGTAACAGCGCATGGATCGCTGCTTGGCTGAGGGCTCGGGGGGAGTCCTAGTGTTCGTGTCATTCCGGCAGGGTGAGGCCTCAGGAGACAGCAAGGCAGACGGGGCAAGGCAAGGAGTTGGGGGAGGAGGCACCTGCGCATTGCTAGTCCTGTGATCAAGTGGTTCCTGGGCGGCAGCAGTGCATGGGAGAAGGGGAGCGGCTGGGCCCAGGGATAAGACGGGTTTGATGGTGATATCCTGATGGCGTTTGACGTTCCATCGGGAGCCCACCTCTGGGATGACTAGGGCAGGCATCTTTTTGGGGGGTGTCCTGCTCCGAACACAATAGTCATGGTCCCCTGAGCCCACATGGACTGGACTAGGGCCGTGGACCCCTTCTTGGAGACAGGCTGCAGCTGGATGTTTGGCCTCTGTAACTCCTTCAGGCTTCAGGGTTCCCTCCTGGGCGGTGGACTTAGGAGATCTGGCTTTGGCCAGCAGTGAAACAGCAGCCAGGGGCTTCCATAACTGGTGGGGAGGGGTGGCTGGAGGGGTGAGGCCTGTGAGGGGAGGGAGGACGGAGACAGCAGGGTGAGATCTGATTCTGTACTTCCAGACATTGTATCTAGGCTCCAGCAACCCCACTTCTCTCCAGGTGCACCACGCACTGGACACCCAGCGTCTCCCACTGTTTCCACTGCTCCTTCCCCCATGTTCTCTGTCTTGGGGACCAACTAGGAACCTAGCCAGCCACGATCCTCCTAAACCCCTTCATCTTCTCCGTTACCAAAACCTAGCTGGTGAGTGGGTTCTACCTAGCCACCCCTCCACCCAGCACTGCCCAGCAGCTAGCTGGCCGCGCCTGGACTCATGCGGTGAAGTCTGCCCACTTCCAGCTTTGTTCGTATTTGCCCCTGTCCTCTACGCTGCTCAAGGAGAGACCATCCAAATACCCATCTGAGAAAGCTTCTCACAGCCTCTGCAGTACACAGGGTGAAGTGCAGACAGCTTAACAAGCACTGAGAGTTTCCATAATCAGATCTGTTTACCACTCCAGCTTTGTATCTCGCTTTTGTTCTGCCCCACCCTGATCAGGCACTAAGCTCCAGTGAAACACATACAAGTCCCCCAAACACAGGCTGGTTCTGGTCCTTTGCTCACTCAAGCTGCTGCACTCGAGGACGCCTGTCCCCTGAATCGACCATCTGAGTGCGAGCAGTGGTTTTCTCATACCTCCGGAGGGGATCACCTTCTATATACCCCTTCCTTGACTGTCCCCTTTGGATCTTACTAAAATGCACAAACTTCCTTGACACACCACTTCTAGTGCTCAGCACGCTTCTGTTTACACATCTGCCCTAAACTTCGAGCACCTCACGAATGGAGATCAGACCTCTGTGCTGTCAATGCCTACACACACCTGATGCAGAGAAGGCACTGCACGTTCGCTACACCATCTCCTCATAGGCAGAGTTCCCCCACCTGAACCCACCTGCCACGTTGGCCAGCTCTGGGGCTTGTAACCGGTCTAGGGGCCTCTTCTCCTGGGGAGTGTCAACGCTGCTGGCAGGGGGAAAAGGGAAAGCCTGGTTCATTGCCTCCTCAACATCACGTGCGTCAGCTTTCCTCACGAAGTAAGCGGAGAGTAGGCATGGACAAGCTGCTCCCCTTCTCCTCCAGCACAAAGGCTATTAGTGACTCAGCTGCAGACCAGGCCTCGTCTCAGCTCTGCCCAATTCCAGGAGGCAGGCTGGCTGTGACGCTGAGTACCCCCAACCCCTTTCAAGTCAGGAGCCTTGCCAACCACCTTGAACCAGCCTGAAGCCAGTGCAAAGGGGAAGAGGGCTGGCAGCACAGGATCTGATCATGAACATGACAAAGGCCTCTCACTGCTGGACATCTGGGGAGCAAGGAGGTCCAGGGTGCCTGTGTCCTCCACAGTGCCAGGGAAGCCCTCGACATTAATTTCTTCCCCACTGTTACACATCTCCAGCACGGAGCAAGCTTATAATCCATTAAATGAAGGAAAGCAGAACTTGCCAGAAGATACAAAGGTTCGCGAGGGGATCCGGAATCCTTGTTTACAATCAGCAGGAGGGCAGTTCACACTCTCCCACCTCACCATCAAACTACGGTAGTGCCCAGGGGTGGCAGGCAGAGCAGGGTGTGGGGCAACGGGAAAACACTAGCGCTGACTGCACATCCCTGCCATAGATGCATCCCGCCGGTGGTCCTGGCACACCAGCTGGCTGCTGACCAACAGCTGCAGGGTAATTGCTCACATCTCCGTACTTACCCTGAGTTTCCTACTACAGCCGAGCTGTCAGCAGGAGCTGGGGGCGGACATTCCTTTTTGGCTGTGAAGAAATTATACAAGTTAAAAGGCCCAAGCAGAAGTTCCAGGCTGAAATGGCACAGAAGGGCTTAGAGACTCCAACGGGAAAGGCTACTCTGTCTCCATGTTCCCTGCAGGGCTACCCTGGAGACAAGTCTCCTTCAGTGGGTACCCAGGAACTGTGCACTCGAGTCTCCTCTCTGTTCAAAAGCACCACAGTCTCTGGGAGAGGCCACCTGCAGAAGCTTACTAGTACCCAAGTTTCTGCAGAACCCTCCGAACGTGCCAGCTCCTGGCCTACTGTGGAGTGTGCACCACTGTGTCCAACCATAGCAGTTTGTTTTGGGGGGTTTTGTCTTTTTGAGACAGGGTCTCACTATGCAGTGCAGGCTGGCCTTGCACTTGCAGCAATCCTCCTGCTTCAGCCTCCCAAGTGCTGGGACTACAGGCGTGCGCCACCACGCCCAGCACAGCATAGTCTTGTCCCACATTCATCTTTCAGTATTGAAGGTCAAACCCAGGATCCTGAGCATGCTAGGCAAGCACTCCATCCCTGGGCTGAACTACATCCTCAGCTTTTTTAAAATAAATACCGAAAAAAAATAAAAATTAAAAAAAAAATAAATACCGAAACATTAAATGAAGTCTCATTAAATTGAACAGGCTATAAAAAAAAATTTAAAAATTAAAAAAAAATAAATTGAACAGGCTAGGGAGAGACAGCTGCAGAGATAGCTCACAGGCACAGCACCTGCCTCGCAAATGCAAGGACCTGAGTTCAATTCCCGGTACCAAAGATAGATAGATAGATAGATAGATAAATAGATAAGAGAGATGAGAAAGATAGACAGATAAATAGATGAGAGAGATGAGAGAGGAGAGAGAGAGGGAGAGAAAAGGAGGGACAAAGAGAGACAGAGACAGAGACAAAGAAAGAAAGAAAGAAAGAAAGAAAGAAAGAAAGAAAGAAAGAAAGAAAGAGAAACAAAGAAAGAAAGAAAAAACAAAAGAAAGAAAGAAGAAACAGAAAAACAGGCTGGCCTCAAATTGGCCATGCTCCTGCCTTGGCCTCCTGAGTAGCTGGGATTACAGATGTGCACCCCGCTGCCCGGGCCACTTATTTTTGCTTGTACTATAGACACTTGCTTCCAAATCATGTTTATCTCCCAAATTAGACCGAACGCTCCTTGACAGAGGTCACAGTAGTGCCACAGCACCTACAGCCCTGCCTTATCTTTAAGTAGCCTACTTGTTCACTGCCTTCCAAATACATGGCGGAGGGTCTTTCCTATACCCGCTCTCCCCTTCACTTACCACATACGCTCTCTCTCAAATCCTGTCTTTTAAGATTCAGCTTGAAAGCTACTTCCCTCTAGAGAAATGTCCCCGAACAACCCCAACCCACCAGGCCTCCCTATCTACTCCCAGAAATACTGTCTGCCCAGCCCAACTGGGGGCTGCTCTAGTGGCAGAGACTGCCTGCCACTCCCACTTAGCCAACTACAGGGCTGAGCCTAAAGGAAGTACCAACTACAAAGGGCTGGGACAAAACTACCCCATTTTTCTCACCTTCTGATTTCTCAAACTGCTCCAGCAGACTGGATAAGTCTGATGCCTCAATTCCTAGGGAGGAACAGGACACAGGATTAAGACCCAGCCCCATCAGCTGAGTACAGTGAGTAAACCCTCCTCCCCCTTTACACCTCTCTGCCCACCATACTAAGTGACCCAAGTCAGCAGCACACAGCAGGAGGGACTGAAACCAACGCAGAGCTCCACCGCTGAAGCCCCTCCAGGGAAATCCAACAAAGGGCAGCCTCGCCACGGGCTTTACCCTGCTCCGCACAGAACGGCCACAGCTGCCCCTCCCCTTCCCACACCAGCTACACCGCGCACTCACCGATCTCACTGATGAAAGCCTGCACTACATCCTCAGGACCCTGCGTATGTGGGGCGGGCAGAAAGGACAGCTTCCTTAGGCGGGCTGGGTGCACAGTAGGCAGCTGAGGAACAGCCCTGACAGCAGGACAGAGAGGTTTCTCCTTGGGCTTCATCTCCTGGGTCTCGGGCTTTAACACCTCTGATGCAGGCTCCTCCACGGACACACCTTCGGCACACAGACTTGGCGGGGCCTTGGTCCTGGGGCTTTGCACCACGGACACCTTGTGTTTCACTCGGGGAGACGCAGGCACTGACTTGACTTCGACCTTGGTGGCCTCTATCTGTGGCGCTCTGAGGCCAGCTGGCCCGAGACTGAGGGAGGGAGCCACAGGCACAGGAAGTACACTTTCTGGAGAGCCAGTTGGAATGACACTGGGCTCCACCGTGGATGGGGGAACATCTCTCCCAACAGAGGCTGGAGCTAAAGGAGGCAGGGGAACAGCGGGCCAGAATGGAGGGTGCTGTGGGCCTGGGCCCCATCCCATAGGCCCAAAGGTACAGCTGGAGCTGTAGGGTGAGACTGGGGCAGGAGGGGGAACCCAAGGCACATTACAAGTGGGGGGCACAGCATAGGCGCCAGGAGTACCAGACACTAGGGGCACCACGGGAGGGGGAGGCAGGCAAGGGTACCCCGAAGGGGACACAGGGGGATAACAAGGCCAGGGTGGCACATGGGCATAGCGAGTATAGGGATCAGGTGGCACAGGCCCCACGGACACTGGAAGGCCAGGAGGGTGCAAGGGAGGTGGGGGAAGACTGGGGACCCCTTGCCCACTTGAAGGAAGGGGCAGCATAGGGGGCATGCCCAGGCCACTTGAGGGGAAAGGCAAAGGAGTGGCCACTGTGGGAGGAACGGGCCCAGCAGGAGACACAGACTGCACAATAGGAAGGGAAGGTCCCGCTGGCAGTGGCACCTCTTCGGGTGGCACCTGCTGGGTGGGAGCTGAACCCACAGGTCTGCCTGCAGGCTCAGGACTAGGAGAAGCAGGGCTGGGACCTGCAGGCACAAAGCCAGCCTCCAGAGGAGCTTCAGGGATCCTCTGCAAGGCCGTCTTCTTGGCTGGGGCTGGTGGGATGACAAGACAAGGGATGTCTGCCAGCCCTGTGGGGGTCTCTGGGAGGCTGGGCCACTTCCCAGCTGGGGGCTGGGAACTTTTCTCTTCTGCCTCTGCCTGCCGTTGCTGTCTTCGTTGCCGGTACTCAGATAGGCTAAGAGGCCGAGGTCTGGTTTCCTGGGTGGCAGCACTGGTACCAGTTCCCACCTTCAGAGGACCTACAACCTCCTTGACTTCAGGGATGACAACCTTTAAGGGGTCCAAGGTCTCTGAGTCAAGGGGGAGCTGGGAAGCTAGACTCCCTTGGGCTGATGACACTGCACCACGTCTGGGGTCGGTTGGTCTGGCCTTAACTAGCACAGGGTCAGCTGGAACCCCATCATTAGGAACAGAGTCAACTAGCGCTGGGTCAGCTAGGACAGTATCAACTGGTGACAAGTTGTCTGAGATGGGAACCACCACTGTGGCATCAACTGCTGCCAAGTCAGCAAGGACTGAGTCAGTCAGCACTGGGTGAGCCGGGAGAGGGTCAACTAGCTCGGAGCTGGCTGAAGCTGGCTCACCAGGTACAGGGTCAGCTACAGCAGGGTCAGCGGCTCTGGGACTGGCTTCAATAGCGTCAGCTGGCATGGGAGCAGCTTGAGCAGAGTTAACCAATGGGAGATGGGTCGGAACAGGGTTGGGATGGATCGTGTCAACCAGCTTAGAGTAGAGGTCTAGAGGACCTTCTTTAGCAAGACCACCTTGTCCAGCACTTCCCTCCAGGTCTCCAGAGCTAGGCTTCTCCAAGGCAGCTGCCCAGGCCCGAGCCCAAGCCCGAGGCTTCCCCCTCCCCTGGGGAGGCACAGTCTCTCTCTGAAGCTGTTCCTGAGGCTGCTTCTTCAAGGTGCCAGTCTGAGAAACCACTTCTGCAGCCACAGCAGCCTGCCCACGAGAGGAAGACCTCAGTTTCCTGGCATAGCCCTCCACGCCGGCTGCCACCTGCTCCTTGCTTTTCTTCCTCCTGCCTTTCCGAGCTTTCTGGGAACCGGGCACTGCACTGGGAGGTGGGGTCTCAGGCCCACCGGGTGCCACTGACACCGTGGCCTCTCTGGGATCCAATAAGCAAGTTGAATCCAGCAACAACTCCTCTTTCTCAGGGCAAGGAGCCACCTTAGGCACAGCAGACTCCGCCTCTGATTCCAGCGTGGGCATAAGCAGCTGCAGCGGGTCACCTAGGAGCACAGACTCGGGTCCAGTGGGGACCTGCCGGACCACAACTGGAATCTGCAGGCCATCAGCAGCGGTGGCCGCCTGGCCCACAATCTCCAGCACCACACAACCCTCAGGCAGTGCCAAGTCTTCTGGCTGTTCCTGAAGCTCATCCTCGAGTGATGCCAGGTGGGTGAGGTTGGGCAGGCAGTAAGGGTGCATGGCCCGCACCAGCTCACTCAGAGAGGAGATGCTCTCATCACCAGCTGCTGGCATGGCCACCTCTGCTGCTGTGGCCTTGTCCTCCTCCTGTGGGCAGGCCAGGTGCATGGGGAAGTCTGGGATGGCGCTCAAGGAACTGTCAAGCTCCCCAGCAAGCATCTGGCCGCTGAAGCCAGCCACCTCTTCCTCTTCTTCACCGTCACTGCGCTGCTGCGAAGGAGGGGACTGGCCCCAGCGTGGCCTCGACCTTGAGGACCTCCAGCTAGGCACCTTGGGAGAAGAGGTCTCCAGGAAGGAAGGTGGGGAGAAATCCCAAGAGGGATCTGCGAGAGCCATCTCAACCTGCAAGAAAGAAGAGAGGGGTTTTCTCAGCAGAGTGCTTTCCAGACATGTTCCTACGCCCCACCCCCACAAGTGTTGGGCAGGCCAGGCTCACCCCACTCACTTTACTACCACCCGTGCCGGGCCCTAAGGTGTCAAGGGGGGTGATGAAGTCACGTTCTGGTGGGGTTCGAGAAAGAGTGAGCAGCTTGTGCAGCTAAGAGGAAGACAAAGACCTGACATCAGTTTGAGCTTTAAACTCAAGCGGCTGTTGAGCCGCTATGTGAGCGGCCAACAGACAAGGTTTCAAACTTTACACCAGCCACACGTCCCCTCTCCTTGTCCCACACTCACAGAGGAGCCCTCTCGAGGAGACACAAGTAGCTCCGAGTCAGGAATGCTGTCAAATGGAGACAGGTTCTCAGAATCTGCATTGTCCAAGATCTCCGTCAGAGCTGTGAGCAGCGATACTTCATTCTGGTCCTCCAGAGATAACCTGCTCTGCTCCAGAAAGACAATGGGAAGGTCCCACCACCACTTCTAATGAGCTACTGGGCCACTGAGAAGGGCCAGAGGCCAAACACTCAGCCTCCCAAGTTCAGCTCAGCTCAATTTACCAACAAGAAGGATCTAAGTGTGAGAAGGCACAGGTTCTAATCTCATTTATCATCCAAAAGAGACCTGTCAGACTAGAGACTAGAGTCTTGGGGTGGAGGTACCGGGAATCAAACTCAGGACCTCAAGCTTGCCAGGCAGGCACTATGCCACTGAGCAAAATCCCTAGCCCTAGAGTCTAGAGTCTTGAGCTTGGGCTTCATACAGTCCCCCGCCTTCAGGTAAGAGGAGGATACTCAGCAAACAACCCTTGGCTCCATCAGAACTGGCCTCAAAGGGGCTGGGGATTTAGCTCATCGGCACAGCACTTGCCTGGCAAGCACAAAGTTGTGAGTTCAATTCCCGGTACTGGAAATAAAAACCCCAAAAAAAGAACTGGCCTCAAAAACAGATCAGGGCCAAATATGGTAGTGCACATCTGTAATCACAAAACTCATGAGACTGAGGCAAGAGAAATCTGAGATCAAGCCAGCCTGGACTACATAGTGAGATTCTGTCTCAAAAAGAAAAAAACACAAGCTGGGTATGGCAGCATACTCCTGTAATCCCAGCACTCTGAGAGGCTGAGACTAGAGGATCCCAAATTAGAGCCCAGCCTGGGCAACCTAGTGATTCAGCAAGACCTTATCTCAAAAAAAAAGAAAGATATAGATCCTCCTGCCTCAGCCTCCCGAGTGCTGAGATTACAAGGGTAGGCTACCATGCCCAGCCCCCCAAAAAACATATTTTTAAAAGAAAGCAAGGGCTGGGCATGGTAGCACACACCTGTAACTCCAGCACTCAGGAGGCTGAGGCAGAAGGATCGTTGTGAGTTCGAGACTAGCCTGGCTACAAAGTGAGTTCAAGGCCAGCCTCAACTGCATAGTGAGATCTTGTATCAAAAAAGACCAAAAAAATAAAAAATAAATAAAACAACGCAGAACTCAGTGAGGCCTTGGGGTCATCCTCCAGCACCATACACAAGTACGTGTATACACACACACAAACACAAAACAGATCACAACCCTCTAGACATTCAGGTCAAGGGCAAAGGCCTTGGATCACTGTCCAAACTAACCAGGGCATCCTCACCTGGCATAATCTGGCAGCCTACAACCTGCAGCCTAACTCCCACCCTCCCTTCGAGAGACAAAAAAACACTTCCAGGACTCCAGTCAGGCACCCAAGAACTAAGGATGAGGCTGGGGATAGAGCTCAGCAGCACAAGAACCTGCCTGGCAAGTGCAAGGTCCTGAGTTCGATTCCCTGTACCAAGAAAAAAAACTAAGAATGTGGAAGAGCACAGCCATCTCTAAAACCACTCCAAGTATCTGAAGTGGAGCCTCCCTTATAAAACTCTAGCTCCAAGCCTCACTCCAGCTCACCTCTCCAAGGCTCCCAAAATCCTCGATGAGCGAGATGAGGGAGGCGTCCATGTAGCTCTGCATGGTCCCCAGCAGCGTCTCGTCCTGCAGTATCAGCTCCTCCATCTCCAGGTCCTTGTCTCTCAGAGATGGGCCCAGGCGAGACAGACTGACAAAGCCAGAGTCTTCCCCTTCTTCACGCAGCAGCGCCTAGGGCAGAGGCGGAGGCTGAAACGAATGCTCCCCCGAGGCAGAGGAATGCCGTGCTCTAGAAACCAGGACCCCAGCCCCACATCACCAAACCTCTAACCCAGGTGGGCAGAGATACAACCCATGAACAAAAGCCCCAACCACAAGGGCAGTATTCCAGGCAGAAGACAGTTTGAACTCCATCCACAAACAGCTGGAGCCACAGGAAATTATTAAACTGCAGAGTAAAAACATCCAAAAGATCCACATTATAGCCAGGTGTGTGGTACATGCCTATAATCCTAACCCTTGGGAGGCTGAGGCAGGAGGACTGAAGCAAGTTTAAGGCCAGCCTGGGCTATACGGTGAGTTCAAGGCCAGCCTGAACTGAATAGCAAGACCCTTTCTAAAAAAAAATAACCAAAATAAAAAGATCTGGATTGTTCAAAGGTCATATGCAGGGAGAGGAGAGGGTGCTAGTCCGAGGGGCACACCAAAGCAAGAGGTCAACCAGGAGACAGTTCAGCTATGCCAACCTGACCCACTTCAAACCCCTGCGGCCTCTGTTACCTGCTGAGCTCAAACCCTGCAGTATTCAAGAAGGTACCTGAGGCTTTCAGGCTTCTCGGCCTATGCTGATGTCTCCTCAGACCAATGCATTCCCTTTCCTGACAATCACACCCTGTCCGTCAACCCCATGACACTTTCTGCATCACTATGAAAACTGGATTTGAAGTTCATCTAGGACAAAGAACCCTTTGTATTGTATTAGTTGATATTCTTCCTGTCTCCCAGAAAAGTTTAAATGCCTTATACAGTATTTTCCACTCACCCATAGTACCAGCCCCATCACAGTTATTACGCCGTGTGCATGTGTGTGTGTGCGTGTGTGTGTGTGTGTGTGTGTGTGTGTAAGAACGTGCTCTGATCCTCAGCTATACCTTCTCCTAATGGTACTGCCCCCCCCCAACCTCTCGTAGTTCCAAAGGAAAGGTATCTTCCCAACCCCTACTAGGTGACAGTCAAAGAACAAGGCTAGATTCTGTAGATGGAGGCCCCGCCCCACACTCCTCCAAAAGCTAGGCACATTTTCAGCCATCAGGAGGCAGGGAGTGGCCCGCCCAAACCTGTCAAGAGTATGGGCGTGGGCAGGGCCAGAAGTGTCTGAAGTGAGACTCAGGAACCAGAGCCAGGCTTAGAAACATGGTGTACAGGCCTAAGAACAGGACCAAATGTAGACCAGCCACCACCACCTCCCCACTTCTGCAGCATAGGGAAACTCAGCATCACCTCCTCCAAATGAAACACGCATCGGGTTTGACCATACCCTTCCCACACACACTCTCCTCAAACAGCGGAGGACTTAAAGCATCCTGAGGCTGAGGCAGGAGGATTTCAAATTTGAATTCAGCCCAGATAGCTCAAAATAAAAAAGGGATGGGGATGTAGCTTAGTGCAAAGGTGCTAAATTCAATCCCCAGAACAGCCCTGAAAAGGGGGCTATGATGTAGTTCAGGGCCAAGACCCTAAATTTAATCCCCAGCCCTCAGGCAGGACCCAGGGAGAGGAAAGGCTGGTTAGGACACAGAAGGCCAGCCCAGGATAAAATGAAAGGCAGGTTTTAGGCACTAACCCCTCCCAGACCTTCACAATCCTGTAATTACAACCACCCGCTGAGTATCACCTGGCTCAGCAAACCATCCTAGTAAGCAAGGAGCTGCATCTCTCCTTGCCCTGCCACCTCCCTACTGGAGCCCCAGCCACCAGGCCAGAATCTCAAACCATGCCCAGCTCTACAAACCACGTTCACCTCCACCAGGCAGGTCCCAGAGCCACAGTCAGAGCAACCTCCCCTTCACAACCTCCCTCGAGTTCCCCACCAGCAGTGTCCAGAGGATCAACCCCACGGCTAAAAGTGAGCCAGCCGCCCGTACCTCTAACTTCCGCAACCTCCCAACTGGCTTTCCCAGGTCAATCTTCTCCCTCCAGGTTGCAAGAACAGCCAGAATTTTTTATTTGATTATTTATTTATTTTTGCATACACCACCACACCCCTCTGCCAGCCAGAAACTTTTTTAAGTGCCTGAATGCTCACTTCCTGAGACCCTCCATAAATCCCCTCAATGCCATCTTACAGCTCTACTGAAAGACTTAAACTCTTCACTACGGTTTACAAGGACCCTGCCCTTCCCTAGTACTTCTGCTCCGGTCTGTCCTCTCCCACTCCTCTGCCACACACACCTGAGCTCCTCCAATATGCTGTTCTCTCCCCTCTCAAGGTCTTTACGCAATTCCTTCTGAAAGCTTTTTACACACACAGGATCTCAGCCTTAAACATCCTTTCCCAAACTCTGCAAGTGTGTTACTCCACCTGATAATATAATCCCACACATCCTGCACTTTCATCTTGTGGCACACCCTTGTAATCCCAACACGCCTCTAATCCCAGAACTCAGGAGACTGAGGCAAGATTGCTAAGAGTTCAAGGCTAGCCTGAAGTGTGACCCTAGCTCACCAAAAAAAAAAAAAGAAAGATGCTGGAGGATAGGGTCATTGTTTGCCAGTGTATGACAATCTCAATTTCTACCTGGTTGTTTGACTAGCTCGTACATACCTATCTTTTTTAAGGGGCAAAAGGATCTCTCCCTGAGACTTTGTCCCACCCCAAATGACCACCTAATTTGTACTGCAACTAGATCTTGGATCCCTCATGCCTCTTCCCCAGAGTGTAGGCAGCACAAGCCTCAAAAGATGTAACCTGCAGAAGGATGAAGAAGAAAAAGTGAGCTGTTTCCAAATTCATGCCCCAGAAGTTATTCTCCCTTGGACACAGGCCTAGATTCGTCCGCTGGACCTGGACCTTGTATTAACAGGCAGCCTTCAGCCTAACTCCTACGGGGGGGGGCGGGGGGGGGGGCTGCCGTCAAGAACTCATCTTAATTGCAAAAGAGAGATAACAATTCAAACTAATTTCTGCCCACTGCCGCCCTGAGTAAGAACTTTTAAAAAGCCCTCCATTAAAGAGTGGGACAGTAACTTTTTAACCACAGAGAAGACAAGGAAAAAACAAATCTCACCAAAATTCTCTCTGATCCAGCTAATGTTCAAGTACTGAATGGTTCTCCCATCCCCAGGAGAAATTCCAGAAAACCTTAACCACAGACCACCCCAGTTTCTGGTGTCAGTTCACTGGAGAGATGCTGGAGAAAGAAGCGTGGGGGAGAGGGTTCTCTCCGCCTCACTTAAACTTGTCCCAGGTATATGCTGACACTCCCCATGCCCCTTAAATCACGAATGAGGCAAGACTGCAGGCAATCAAAACGCCCGTACCAGTGACTCACAAGCCACCCCGAGCCGGTCAGGCAGAAGCTGCCACAAGCTCTCCTCCACAGTCCTTCAGCCTCACCCCTCTGCCATCTGCAAAGAGACGCCCAAACATCTGGGAAGTTTACCACCCGCTGTCCAAAAGCGCTGCAGACCCACGCAAAAGGGAGCAACCCCAAGGCTACAGGCAAAGTTGACTCCAGCAGCCCTAACCTTCCTCCAAGGCCAGGGGTTCCCAGCCCTGGTCGCGGATGGCGGGACCGCCGGGACACACCCAGTTCTCGGCAGTGCGGCTCAGGCGCGGACACTGGAAGCCCGACAGCCCGGGCCGGGAGCCACGTGGACATCCCCTCGCCGCACCCACGTGGACCGCGGCCCTGCCCCCCAGCCCAACCCACGTGGGTGCCCCGGCCGCCCGGAGGGGGAGGGGAGCCAGACAAGTTCTCCCGGGAAAATCGCTCCCCCACCCCACGTGTTCCGAAGAGAGAACTGCGGCGCCGGGCTGCTGCAGCTCTCCCCGCTCCCGCAAGAGAAGGTCCCAGCCTTCGAGCCCTACTGCGAGCGCCTGACCGCCTCCCCCGGTTGCAGGCCCGGTTTCCGCCCCCAGCTCTGCCGCTCAGGGTTCCCAGAAAAGCCCCGCACGCACCCCTCCTCCGCCGCCCGAGCCGAATACGCAGCTCAGGCCTCTCCGCCGGGCCTGACTCCTGCAGACAGCCGGCACCGACTCGCGAGCGCTTCCTCCCTCTCCCGCGGCGTCCACGTGTCACCGCCCGGCGCACGCCGCTCCGCTGCCAGCCGCGGGCCGCCCGCCAGGCTCTCACCTGCTCCCCTCCGCTCACGGCGCCCACGGTCCCATAGGACGCTTGGCTCCGACTTCCCCAGCCGCTGCCGCGGACTCCACCGCCCGGATCAGGCCCGGAGCCGGCATTTGCAGGCGGCGCGATTCTGTCTCTCCGTCCCCGGCGCGCCGCCATCTTGGCCCCTGAACACCCAGGCTGCTCTGTCCGCCGGCGCCGCCTCGCCCGGCAGATTGTGGGAAAGAACTACAACTCCCGAAGGCCACGACGGAACTACAAATCCCAGAAGGCCGTGCGGCGAGACACCCCACCCCCCGCCCCGCAGCCTGCGCTCCTTGCAAGAGCGGTCCTGGGAGTAGTAGTCGCTCTGTGCACCCACCTGGCGTCTCCAGCGCTGGACACAGGGTGGTGCGTAGTGTGGTATTATTCGAAGAGACCAAGATGGCAAGCGCGCAGTAATGAGAGAGTTAGTATTTGTGTATCTTTATTTTCGCTAATATAGCCAACCTTTGGAACGCTCTTTGTATCCTACGTTTTGATTGCTGTGCATTCCCTTAACCGCGGCCCAGGTGGGCCTCTGTTGAAACACCATCCCCTAGTGGACACCCGCACTCTGGGCACGAATTCTCGCCCATCCTGACCTCTCTACTATTGAACATTGCACACACACACACACACACACACACACGCACACAGACAACCCAGGGACTCTGAGTCAACCCCACCCCTTTCTAGAGACGGGGTCTCGCTAAATTGTCTAGGCAGGACTTGGACTTGCGGTCCTCCTGCTTCAGCCTCTCAAAATACTAGGATTATAGGTGTATGCCACTGCGCCCAGCTTCAAATTTATTCCTAAAATACCGAATTCACTGTTCTTACTCTGCTGTTAAACAGGAAACTGCGTTACATTACCAAGTTTATTTCTTGCTCTCAATCTTCTAATTGTCCTATAACTGTGACAAAACGGGTTTAGCTTGCACCTGTTAGCTCCAGCACTCTAGGAGACTGTGGCAGGAGGATCCGAACTGTAGCCTAGCCTGGGCAATTTAGCAATACCTTGTCTAAAAACTAAAAAAGAGGTGGGGGATGTAGCTCAGTGTGAAGGCCCTGAGTTCAATCTCCAGTATGAGGGGGGGGCTGTATGGATTAAGGAAATATAATTGACCTGCATATTACAGTTCAATTTCTCAGATTTAGTCTCTGTTGCCTTTACTGTGTATTCATCCATGTTTGTTTGCTTTTTTTTTTTTTCCTGGATGTAGAATTCCGTAGGACTGATGGGGCACTGTGACACATCCTTATTATCCCAGGCATAACCACTGAGAGACTGAGCTGGGAAGCCTGGGCAATTTAGTAATTTAGGGAGACCCTGTCTCAAAAACGAAAACAGACAAACACACACTAGCATGGTGGTGCAGGCCTGTAATCCCAGCATTCCAGAGGATAGCCTTGAGTTCAAGGCCAGACCATCCCCAAAACAAACAAACAAACAAACAAAACGACAAAAATATGTGTCTGGGGTGGTACATCAGTGATAGAGCACTTGCCTAGCATGGGTGGGGACCTGGTTGAATCCCCAGCGCTGGGCAGTTGGGGGAGGCAGGTTGGTTCTGTTTATATAGTGCTACAACTTGATTTTTCATGTTAATCCATTCACTAGCCAAAGGTTTCCTGAGCTCTTAGTGGACACAAGTTCCATTATATAAATATATTATTATTTAGACATTTAAATTGTTTCCAGCTTTTGCCATTACGTGTTAAATTATGGTGACCATCACTGTGCATGTTGCGTACATGTACATTTGTGCATTCTTTCTATGGAATTGTTTCCTTGGAATGCCATTGCTGGAATTTAGAAGATGTACACATTTGAAATGCAGTGGATAATGCAAAATTGCTCTCTGGGAAGATGGCATCAATCTACATTCCCAAATGCTAAAAAACAAAACAAAGCAAAACAAAAACACAACTCACCCCACTAACATTCTACAAAAACCAGATTTTCCTAAAAATAATACCCAGTAAACCTCTTTGGGCCAGGAATATAGCTCAGCACCACAAGCACCTGCCTGGAAAGTGCAAGGTCCTGAGTTCAATTCCCCGTACAAAAAAAAAAAAAATTGCTGGGTATACCCAGCAGAGTGGCACATGCCTGTAACCCTGTAACCTTCAGCTACTTGCTGAGTTGCTGAGTTGCTGAGTTCAAGGCCAGCCAAAACTACTGTAACAAGAGCCTATCTCAAAAAAACAAAATAAAACAAAGCAAAACAAAATGTGCTGGCACATTCCTATAATCCCAGCTACTCAGGAAGCTAAAGTTAGAGGATCACAAAATTTAGGGAGAACTTGTCTCAGAAAGGGCTGTCATGGGGTGTGGTGGCACACACCTATCAAGCACTCGGAAGCTGAGGCAAGAGGATCACTGTGAGCTAAAGACCAGCCTGGGCTACATAGTGAGACTCTGCCTCTAAAAAAAAAGGAAAAGGACTGTGATGTGGA